GTCACATCCATGTTCGCCTCGAAACATCGTGAAGAAGACCCCCTCGACGTCTGGATCACCAGTCTCGAGAAGCAGAACGCGTACCTACGTGGCACCCCGTGTTTCTCTTTCTAGAGGGCGGGGAGGAGTGTAACCCCGCGCTGGGGTTACACGAACGAACCTACGCCACGCTCGCTTACCGCCCGCTCCCCGCTCGCCTCATCCTCGTCCCCCGCCCGCTACCTGCTCGCTTCCCGCCCGCTCCCCGCTCGCTTCTCGGATAGTCCAACGTTGACGCCTGTTTGGGCCGCTGTCACCCGCACATTATATATACCTGACCCGCTCCCCCTTCGTTGCCCAACTCACTTCACGGCAACGAAGGTACGTAGTACGCGCTCCCCTCTGTATTCCTTAGAACTCACTTCACGGCAACGAAGATTCGTTCCCGTTCTGTTCCACGTCCGATTCAGTGAAGCCGTACGCCGTCGCATCGACGAACGAACTCTTCGCGGGCTCATCTCTGCCGGAGCTTGCGACGAGGTTCGTCAGGCGATGGTGCGTCGCGAGTACAGCTCCCTCGCCGACACCTACGCCACCTGGAAGGAGGCTCTGATCTGTTTCGACGCCGAACGCCTATCCAACCGTAGGCGTCGTTTCCGCGAGTACGAGCAGTTCTCAAAGGCTAAGTCTACTGCCGTCACGAACAAGTCTCGCTTCAACAACACCTCGTCTGGCTCCGGTTTCTCTTCTCGGTCTGGTGCTGCTTCTGGATCTGGCTCTGGCAACAAACCTTCCGCTGGGTCCTCTAACGGGCTGGGACAACTGTCCGCTGACGATCGGAAGCTGCTAATGGACAACGCCGGTTGTTTCAAGTGCCGCCGCATCAACGCCGGTCACCAGTCAAAGGAATGCCCCAATGGCTTCCCCAGCGTCGGTTTCAAGACGCCGGCGGAACAGTTGAAGGGTATGAAGAAGGACGCGCCTCGCAAGGTCGCGGCGGTTACGGTAGACAACGAGCACAGCGACGAAGACGACTACATCAACGTCGCCGCAGTCCGCGCGACCTCTCCCTTGGCGCAATGCTCTGGAGTCCTGTCGGAAGGAGATAGCTCGGATGACGATGTACGTCCTTCTCCGTTCACGTCCCCCCACCTGTCTTGGCCTGTACACATCAACGCCCCTTCTGGCTTCCACGAAGTGTCAGCGTTGATTGACACGGGTTCACCCTTAGTATTGATTCGCGAAGACATCGTCTCGCGTCTTCAACTACGCCGCAGACGCTTACAAAGCACCGTGCCCCTCGGAAACGCTTTCAACGGCGGAGGGGTTGAGGCAACTGAGTGGTGTAAATTGACGGTCTCAACACCGGACGGGTCGTGGACTTCTGTATCTTGCAAGGCTCTTATCGTTTCTGAACTGTGTTCGCCTCTCATTCTCGGCTCTCCGTTCCTTGTCCGCAATCACGTTCTCGTCGATATGTTTAATAAAGCGTTGTGGCATCCACCGTCCGCTCGAGATCTGACGATTGCTGCCCCCCGAACAACGAGCTCTAAACCGGACTTCAAAGCGCGTCGAGAACAGAGAAGGCTCGACAACGAACTTCTTGTGTTGGAAGCAAGCTTGACGCGCGCGAAACACCGCGACGTCGTTCGCGAGCTGAAGATGATCACCCCAACCCCACCGGAATCGACCTCAATTCCTCCCGACTACTGCGTCGCTGCTCTGCGGGAGAGGGTCGAAGCACTCGCCGAAATCGAGATGCTCAAGCGTGAGGACCTCTTGATGAAAGAGGAGTTCGCTGACTGCTTCCCAGAGGACATACCTCACATCAACGAACTCCCCACCGACGTGTATCACGAGATCAACCTCAAGGACGCGAACATGACAATCGTCCGCCGTCAGTACGATTGCCCGAAGAAGTACAGGGAGGTGTGGCGAAGCTTGCTCGACGAACACATCGCCGCGGGCAGGTTGCAACCATCCTCAAGCCCTTTCGCCTCGCCATGCTTCCTCGTACCAAAGTCCGACCCGTCCGCGAAGCCGCGCTGGGTGAACGACTACCGCGCCCTGAACGACAACACGGTTCCCGACGTATACCCCCTCCCGTCCATTCAGGACATCTTGTCCGACTGCGGGAAAGGTACGATCTGGGCGAAGTTAGACATGACTAACTCGTTCTACCAGACGCTCGTCAAGCCCGAACATGTCAAATACACTGCAGTCACGACACCGTTCGGCCTTTTCGAGTGGAAGGTCATGCCGCAGGGCGCGCGAAACGCGCCGAGCACACATCAACGACGGATGTATAACGCGCTACGTCCTTTCATCGGTCGCATCTGTCATGTTTACCTTGATGACATTATCATTTGGTCGAACAGCGTCGAAGAACATAAGCGGAACGTGCGGACGGTGCTTAATGCCCTCCGCGCACACAAGCTTTTTTGCTCTTTGAAGAAGACCGAACTGTTCTGTGTGGACCTGCGTTTCTTGGGTCACAGGATCTCGCGCGCGGGCATTCAGCCCGACGGAGAGAAAGTTTCCAAGATCGCGAACTGGCCGACACCGAAGAACGCTACAGACGTCCGCGCATTCTTAGGGCTAGTTCGCTACGTCGCAAGTTTCCTACCTCATCTTGCTGAGCTGACGGTCCCTTTGAACGGTCTCACGACCAAGGAAGCCGAGAAGGACTTCGAATGGACGTCTGTCCACGACGCCGCCTTCGCGGCCGCCAAGGAACTCGTCCTAAGTCACGAGTGCCTCACCGTCATCGACCATCTCAACATGGGCGACAACAAGATATTCGTCGCGACGGACGCCAGCGACTACTGCACTGGCGCCGTACTCATGTACGGAAAGACCATCGTGACCGCGCGACCGGTGGCCTTCGAGTCTTGTCAACTCAAGGCCGCGGAGCTCAACTATCCTGTCCATGAGAAGGAGCTCCTCGCTATCGTCCGTGCGCTCAAGAAATGGCGGATTGACTTATTAGGTGTGCCGTTCACAATTTTCACGGATCATAGGACCTTGGAGAACTTTGGCACGCAAAAGCACCTGTCGCGTCGTCAGGCGCGCTGGCAAGAATTTCTTGGCCAGTACGATTATAAGATCGCATATATCAAAGGGGAAGAGAACTTGGCCGCGGATGCGCTATCGCGCTTACGCAGCCAGGTCGTCGATCTCTCTGAAGTCCCCGAATCAGCGATCGCCGCGGTGCGCCTGGCGCACGGAGCAATTGACGCTCTTAACCGCGCTGAACGCGCCCACGTGACCGCGCCTCTGGCATGCGCGGCAGTGAGCACATTGCGCGTGTCCTCGGATCCCGCCTGGCTCGCCCGCATTCGAGCGGGATACTCGAACGATAAATGGTGCATGCGCCTTCTGGCGATGCTGAGTGATGGGCACCCTGACGTTATCAAACGGCTGCACGCGGGCTCCCTTGACGGTCGCGAGAACGGTGGTGTCACCGTGCGTCACGGCCTATTGTATCTCGGAGAGCGACTCTGTATCCCGCGCGTCGCAGATCTCCGCGAAGGAGTGTTCCGCATGGCACATGATGCTCTTGGTCATTTTGGTTTTGACAAGTCATACGGTGCCATCCGCGACTCCTTTTTCTGGCCCAAGATGAGGACAGAACTGGAGACTTTATACATCCCGTCGTGCGACGCTTGTCAACGCAACAAGGGCCTGACGCGTAAACCCGCCGGCCCCCTGCACCCATTGCCCGTTCCTGACGGTCGCTGCGAGAGCGTCGCAATTGATTTCATTGGAGCTCTGCCAGAAGACGAAGGTTTTAATTGTATCGTGTCCATGACCGATCGCCTCGGCTCTGATATGCGATTCGTGCCCTGTCGGACAGACATGACTGCGGAAGATTTCGCAGGCGTTTTCTTCGAACATTGGTACTGCGAGAACGGATTGCCACTGAACATCGTTTCAGATCGCGACAAATTGTTTGTCTCCCGTTTCTGGAAGGCTCTGCATCGCCTCATCGGCGTGAAGCTCAACATGTCCAGCTCTTTCCACCCGGAGACCGACGGGTCAAGCGAACGTTCGAACAAAACCGCGATCCAAATGTTGCGCTTCCATGTCGCGCGCAACCAAAAGGGCTGGGTGCGCGCGTTGCCTCTCATACGCTTTCAGCTGATGAGCACCGTCAATGGTTCCACAGGCCAGACGCCGTTCTACCTCAGGCATGGACGTGCGCCTCGCGTCATCCCGCCTATCTCGGACCACGACGTCGATGACGTGATGCGTCTCATCGACAGTCAAGACGTTTCCGCTGCCCTGGAGACGCTGCGTCGACTGGAAACAGACGTGATGGAGGCTCAGGATACCCTTCTCCTATCCAAGGCAGCGCAAGCGCTGCACGCCAACACGTCGCGCGGTGTAGAACAGCGATACGCGGTTGGTGACCGCGTACTCCTCTCCACTTTCCACCGCAGGCGCGAATACATGCAACGCGGATCCCATCGCGTCGCGAAGTTCATGGTCCGCTTCGACGGACCGTACACCGTTGCGCGCGCGAACCCCGACAGCTCTTCCTACACACTCGATCTGCCCGCTTCCATGAACGTCTTCCCGACATTCCACTCCTCCCTACTCCGCCCCTTCCTCGACAACGACGACGAACGCTTCCCGGGCCGCGCTAACCCGCAACCGGGCCCGATTGTCACTCCCGAGGGCGAGGAAGAGTACTTCGTCGAGAAGATCCTCGATCGTCGCCGCGCTGGGCGCGGTTGGCAATACCTCGTTCGCTGGCTGGGTTATGGCCCTGGCTCCGACTCCTGGCTGCCCGGTCGCGAGGTGGACAAGCTCGCGGCGCTCGACGAGTTCCTCGCCACCCTCGACTCTGCTTAGGAAAGTACTCCTTTTCATATTCCTGGTTATGTATATCGCGCTGGCTCGCCCCCCTTTTGTTTCATTACAGTGTCCCCCGCGCTGGTCGCGCCGTCTCGCTCTCGTGCCTTGCACCAAACTCGTAGCCCCGCGTCCCGGCGACGTGTACTCCCTTCCCCCCCCGGCCGTACGACTCTACTCCGACAACCGTCTTCCCTGTCCCTGTGTTCCGTGTTTCATTTCTTTTTTTTCCGTCGTGTTTCTCTTTCTAGAGGGCGGGGAGGAGTGTAACCCCGCGCTGGGGTTACACGAACGAACCTACGCCACGCTCGCTTACCGCCCGCTCCCCGCTCGCCTCATCCTCGTCCCCCGCCCGCTACCTGCTCGCTTCCCGCCCGCTCCCCGCTCGCTTCTCGGATAGTCCAACGTTGACGCCTGTTTGGGCCGCTGTCACCCGCACATTATATATACCTGACCCGCTCCCCCTTCGTTGCCCAACTCACTTCACGGCAACGAAGGTACGTAGTACGCGCTCCCCTCTGTATTCCTTAGAACTCACTTCACGGCAACGAAGATTCGTTCCCGTTCTGTTCCACGTCCGATTCAGTGAAGCCGTACGCCGGCTTACAAGTGAATATGGTACTCTCGCGAAGCTGTCAATCGTGTGCGGGCGTAACGACCGTCCTTTGTTGCGCAATCACTTGCCAATCTGCAGCACATTTAACGCAGTGGATACAACAGGTCTGTGATAGAAATATATAGCATGCAGATACACATGCGGGCCTCATACTTATGGAACCGCACTGGTGGTGCGCCTGCCAGGTTCAAAGACCACCCGCCCCGAAGACGGCGGCCGGACAATGTAGTTCTGTTGCCGCTGACTGTGGCTCCCGAGACGAATGCATGTTCAGCCCAGAACCTGTCCCAATAGATGGTAGTCACGGCCGCTCAAAACGAGGGCGGTCCTGACAGGTCGCGTACCGAGCGCCCGCCGTCCGAAGCGAGCGCGCCCTCCAATCTGTGAATCGAGACTACGCCGCGAATCGTACCGCGCCGCGTATTCACGTCTAGCCCTCCCGCGGTGCGACCGCGAGCACCCCTGCCCGCTCTCCCCGTCTCCGTCGGCTCGTCGTGTCGCGCCCTGGTTGGCGCGGACCCCAGTGGGTTCGGTGCGCTCCGCCGGTCCTCTCGTAACGGCGTCGCCTCGTCGCCGTCAGCAACTGATTGCGCGCGACGGGGGCGGGCTTGGCTCCGGGAGACGGTCACCGCACGGACCATGGTGCGACGCGGAGGAGACGGCCCTAAATCTCATCAGCAATAAGTACGAGGGCGGTTGCGACACGAGCGTGCACACCTTTCCTGCTCGCCCCTACCCCTCCGTCATGCTCCTGCTATCCCCGCGTAGGTGAGAGCGCGCCGTGTTCATGTTGGCCAGGGCTGCCTGTCGGAGGTACGTTAGCATCATGTGCGGCATGTGGTTCGTCACTGACCTTGCGGTCCCAGGCTCCCCACCTTCAGATACACGTCGAGGCGACGGTACACACAGCATGCACCATACAACGGTCGTCGTTGAGGTTCTGATCCTTCTTCGCGGTGAGTACTATTTCTTGTGATACGATAGAAGTCGTGCCGTGTTCGTTCCCCTTATGCGCCGTCATGATTCGACCGAGCACCCGCCCATCCCCCTCGGTTTCGCGCAGACGCCTTCGCGAGCAATGCTGACTGGTACGTACATGATAGCACCAGTCCGCCCGGCTCGATACGGCGTCAACCTGGAGAACACGGCAGTAAGTACGTCTGCTATTACTGAACGAGAATGAGGTTGAATCTCTCACTTACCTAGATGTCCGCGGTCTACGCCGCTGCTCGATACGACGGGTGAGTGCCGTCACCTGGGGCTTGCTTTCGCGTGCGATTGTCGCCAGGACACATACAAAGCCGAGGATAGCAAGCGAACGGGACGGTGGTGCACCGCCGGTCGGCGTGCGGTACCAAGTCTCGCGGACAGATCTGTCTTGATGTATGTATTCCTTGCGTGTCTCGGGCGGCGTCGTGTTCTCCCAGGACCTCCGGATCCGCTGACATTCTCGATACAGACGCGACATGTATTTACTACCAACCACGCGTCCCGGCGCATCTGTCCGCCGCGCGTTAGGTACTGACTGACGGTGCATGCCCGCCGCGCTCGAACGCATCCCAGACGGGCCGGAACGTCTCTAGCAGGGGCTACGGTGCGTTAGCTTCTTCCCATAACCAAACAGGCGCGGTACTCACATGTGATGTCTAGAGCGAGCGACTCCGCGCGCACAGCACCGAGACGGTACTAGCAAAGGAGGGCGACTCGGAACGGAGGCTGGTAGCCGGGGCGGGAGAGGACGAGGGCGTAGATCAGTATCTAGATAGGCGAGGCGGCCGCAGCGCAGACTCGTAGAGCGCGGCGCGGCGCGGGAACGTTCTTGCGGCGGCGGGGACCCGACGAGGCCCTGCCTCCCGCCGCCGTGCACCTCGCACACCGCCGTCCAGAGGCGCCGAGGCTTCTACCTCCCGGCAGCGCGGCGTCCGCGGTGAGGGCGCCGCGCACGAGCGACGCGGCGCGCGTCGCCGTCTCGCTGCGTTCGCGTCACAGCTAGCGACCGGGTGCCTGGGATATCGATGATCTGCAGAAACGCACGGTGAGTCTCTTGCCGCCTGCGGATGGCGGGAAACTGACGAGCGTACCGCGGCAGGGCGAAGTACGCGCTGCGGGGCCAGCCGGCGGCCCACACGTCGAGGAGGCGCGAGGCAGAGTGCAATCTGGCACGAGATGGTGAGCATCGCGCGGTGACACGGCGGTACGGTACATGTCGGCTCATCTCCCATGTCTCTCACAGGAACAGACCGGCGGCGCGGACGGCGCGAGCGGTACGGGAGGGGCGCAGGGACGGGACGACGGGCGGGCGGCGCGGACCGATGAACATCGAGATGTAGATACAGGTACTACAGACAGCCGCACAGCCGGGGGGGCGCTCAACGTGGGGGGAGCGGGGGCGGGGGCTCGTGCGGCGAGGTGCTGCCTAGGTAGGTACAGCCCGACGTCGCAGCCCTCTCCCCCCGTTCCGTGCCTCGAACGGCGCTCGGAGTTGTGGCGGCGCAGAGGGCTCGTGGAGACGCTCTCCGCAGCAGACGAGCTGGCGGCGACTGCCACGAAGGACGAGAGCGAGGGCGGACGCGGCTCCTGCGCGCGTCATCAGCCCCGCAGGCAGTCTTCTCCGTCGCGACGCGTACTCGCTCGCGGGCCACGTCCCCCGACGAGGTACCGTCCTGCGGGCGTTCGTGCAACGCCGTCGCGTTCTGCGGCGCCAAACGCGGGCGGGCAGCCGAACGCGCCGCCAGGCGACGATGACGGTGACGACGACGACGTCACGGCCCGCGACGCGTCCGTACGCGGAGGAGACCACAGCGCCGCGTGTGCGGTGCACCTGAGATGTACCTGCAGTGCCGTCGAGTCGGGAGTTCGCGTCAGGGAGTGCCGACGCGCATGGAGATGCGGTCGACCCCGCCGGACCACAAACACACCCGAAAATGAAATCGTCCGGACGCGCTCGAACGCAACGGCGAACGATAGCAATCGTGTACGGGCGTCCTCGTGCCAAGTTACGGAGCGGTGCGCCGAGCAGGAGGGCCGGGACGCCGAGTTTATGTTTTTCGCCAATGGAATCGCCCGACGCACCCCAAATATTTTCTGCTCGGATCGCAACGAAACGTCGTCAGCGTACGCGTCCTGGTTCATGGAAGTGCGGCGCGTCATCGACGAAGGTCGCGAGGCCGCGGTCCCTACGCGAGGTCGCGAATAGTCGTCCCGGGACGACCGCCGGCGCAGCCGTGCACGCGCAATCGCCCCCGGGCGTTCTGCGGCTGGCGGGATCGACAGCGGGAGCATACAGCGATGCCTGTGCCAAACGGTGCCGCGGCACGATGCGTGCACGAGCGGGGATGCGGCGGCGAGTTCGGCCGTTGCCCATGAAATCGACGCAAATCGTCCGATTTTTTCGGCTCCGAATGCGACGATACTGCCGGGGTGTATGCGTCCTGGTTCGCTGGAGCGCGCCGTGAGACTGAGAACGGCTGCGGGGGCGGCGTCGAGGCGCGAGGTCGGCGGCAAGCCTTGGCGCGAGGCCGCCTGAATAACGTGGCGTGTGCGCGTCCAACGGCGCCGAACGGCGTGACTACCGTCATAGTCCATCGCAGGGACATCCTGTGAGATGGCAAGCGCGAGAGGACGCCCGTACCGGCACTCAGGACAGTGTTACGCCCATTTCTGGGTGTGGGCGGGCTTAAAACCGGACCTGGTGAGCGCAGTTCGCGTGCGGGCGGGATGGGAACTCACCAGATGGGAGACAGAGGCGGTGTGCACCGCGCCATGTCAAGCGGGGACGTGCCAACAGCGGGGCGAGTGCGGCAGACCGGGCGGAAGGCCGCAGAGAGGTCGTCGTCTCAGAGAGGGCGTGGAGGGCGGAGGACGTTGGCGGCGCATTCGTGCGTGCAGCGGCGCACGTATCCGAGCACGATGAACGTGCTGTCAAAGTTCCACAGCGGGGCGTTTGGATTTGCAGACGCGGCGAACAGATCTTGGAGGGGTGGATATGCACTCTGTATCCGGAATGGTGAGCGCAGTTTACGTCGGATCGATATGGAAACGCACCGGACGCGAGATTAGCGTGCTGTCTACGAGCTGGCAGAGAATGCGCACGCGGCGCTGAGCGTGGGCGTAGGCAGAGGACGTCGGGGACGGGAGAGCGGCGAGCGAGCGCGCGGCGTGTATTCCTGGCGCAGGACTCTCACGGCGGCTTCGTGCTCGCACCGGGGTCACTTTACGAGTACGCCAAGCGTTGTACAAGTGCGTAGAAGGCGGGCTTTGCGGGCGAGGCACCGTTCGCGATCGACTGGAAGGGCGAGTAGGAGCTCAAAAGAGACACCGTCCGCGGTTCCTGGTGTGCGCGTGCGGCCGTAGGAACATGACATGTTACTCGAGTCCATGTTCTCGACGTACACTACGAGAAGCGAGTCAGCGAAAGGATGGAATGGACGGGTTTGTGTGCGCGGACCCACGGATAGGCCGCAGACGGGCGTCCGCACATATGGGCAGGCTCGCATGCAAGGGACAGCGGCGTGGCGGGTCGACAGAAGAGGCGCGAGGAGAGAGCGTGCGGTGGAGGGCGAGAGAGACAGGCACCCGCGCAGCGCGATCGCATCTAGGCGAGCTGGGTGGATTTAGCAGAGGAGGCCGATGGACGCGTTGTGGCTCGAGCTCGCGAGTGGACGTCGAGTGGTCTTCAAGGGCGTCACTCGCCCGCCAACACGTCCTGGACGGAAAGGAAGCGAGCGGGACCCGAGGGCAGACGCTGCAACGACGGTCCTAGCCCGCGACATGTCAGAGAAGCGGCCGTTGGCGCCCGTCGCTGGAGCAGCGTCAGTGCATGCATTCGCCAGGGCACACCGCCGCAATGACGATAAGACGATCGATAGGCCAGCGACGGCCGGTGTAATGGGGGAGGGAGTCAGGAGAGCGCGGGTCGTCATCTGAGTTGGATCTCGCGCTGCGTGCTCGGCGCTCTCCACGATCGGGGCCTCGTTGCCCTCACTCATCGCTCTTCCTCCCGTCCTCGTCGTCCTCCACAGCGAGCTCCCGCTTTCCTCTTTCCACCGCTCAGAGGGCCGCATCCACGCCCATACCCGCCGCTGTCCTGCGCTTG